AACTGACTAGACTTACATTGTGGTAGTAATGTTACAGTAGTATACCAAGTTCGGGCTGTTAGTCAAATGTTTTTGCTACTCGTCACTGGCCTCCGTGGTTTGTTCATTGTCCATGTCATCAGTGTTGTTACACTTACTGACACCTACTGTTGTCACTGAATTATTCATCTGACCTTCCAGAACGCTCTAATAGCCCTATTCTTGTGAAGCTTCCGATTCATGGAGAATACTAAGAGTCGAGGCTTCGTTGAAGGATTACTGCTTTGCTTTGTTTTCTGTCAGACGTCTAACATGCACAGAGTAAACAGACTTCTCAGTAGTCTATGACTCTAAATGCAGTTACTTTTAGGATGATGAGGAAAATGTTGATCGTGGGTTAGACTTGATGGAAACTGCGGCCAACTGTGGCGACAGTTTTGCGATCTTATACTTAGCGGAGGCTTTTACCCAAGGCAGTAACCTTGGATCATCACGGTTTGTTTATTTTTTTTTTCGTAATTTTGGATATTACATCCATTTGTTGCTGCTGGAGTTGCACTGTAAAGCATCGACGGGTTTAGCTTAAACCAACAGAACTACAGCCAGCAAGCTTATGCATTGATGTTAGAAACATGCTTGGATATGATCATAAGACTCATGATATTAGCGACGGATTAGTCTAAAGCTTCTCATATTAAGTCAGGTTTCGTTGTTATGGTTTTTCTTGTATCCTTGAGTTTGAAAGAGTCGGTGTTTCGACCAAGATATCTGCTCTTTAACTTAAAATGTTTTTATATTGATGGTGCCGAAGTGACTGTCCTTCATACAGGTGGCAGCAGCCGTTATGAAAATACATCATTCTTTTTCCGAGGAATCAGTATGGTCAGTGATTGTAGTCATCCTATATTTACTAGTAGTCAGAATACAGTTTTAAGCCGAACAGTTTTTAAGGTATTACATTGCCTCGTTAAGAGGTCGTTCTCGGAACCACGATAGCCAAAGCTGCAGAAGTAATACAATTGAGATAGTGTGTACAGTGTCATCGAACTTCATTTTCACGACATACCATCATATGCAATCACGCAATCTGTCGCCGTCCGCTGTACAGAATGTTGATAACAGAGACCGCTTTCTGGAAGTGATTAAATTTAGCAGTCATTAGAAATTTCACCTTAGTATATCTGGTAGAATCTCCTGGAAAAAATAGCAAGACGTCAGTTCCTTTGAAGAAATTTATTCATTCTTTTGGTAATAGCTATGGATCATGCTAACGCGGTCATAATGTTAATAGTTGAGTAAAATTAGGAAAGGTTAGTTTGAATGAACTTTGATTAACCAATTCTATGGACATTTATTAGGAATGACATCTAGATTTCATTGGGTTGATGTGCCAACTAGTAGTATTCCATTATGAGCAGATGCTATGCTGGTATCGTTACGATTGGGCTGCAGCATGGAATGGACAAGCGACCTTTTGTGGTTAATAGTTATTGCATCGAACTTTAAATGAACATTAGTTGCTATGAGTTAATATTCGGTTAGTATGATTTTTTTCGGCAACACTGTATATTTTTTATTTTCCAAATGTACTTGTCATCTAATAAATTCTGTTGAAAATGTCCGTGCATGTAAGTTACATTCTGTGTATTTTAGCCACAAGTCTTTTGTGAAGGCATCGGAATATTACAACCGCTTATTGCAGAAAGGTCCTGAAGTTGAAATTGGCATTCCACATTACGAAATATACAAAAGACTGGCAGAGATGTATGCTGTGGGCGATAAGGAGTTGCAGAGGAATTCTGAAAAAGCCTGTATGTATTTTTATGACTGATTTTATTTCACTTCTGTCACGCGTTTGTGATCGTGTAGCGGAACTTTACAACGAAGCTGGAAATGCTGCGACAGAAGCAATGAAAGGAAAGATGGCGAACAAATTTTTCATGATGGCAGAGCGTGTTTTGGCTGGAGCAGAGGAAGAGTAAATTGAAAAAGTTTTTTCTTGTGCATATGTTTGAGATATAAGTTGTCTATTGTTTTTATGTTTTACTGTGTGGTTTAAGGGTAGTTTGACATGATGTATATCTCGTTTGTTTGTTATATTTCGGTAAATGGCATTTTAGTAAACTTCAAGTGTTGTTCTGAAAATTGACAGATTGCAAAGAAGCTTGCATAATCTTGTTTATATTATCAGTTTGAACCGGTGTTGTGTGGATTTCCAGCTAACTTTCTAATCGTTTGGCTCGTTTTCTGAATCAGATGATGTATGTCCCATCATTTATTCGATAAACAGTTTGTCAGAAATCGTCTTCAGAGGTTTGCAATTGCAGTTCTAGTTTACTCGGTTCATGTCGCGCATCTCTGAGCATTGAACATATTTTCTGCCAAATGTTTTCTCGATAAGATTTAACATCACCGTGACAAGTTGATCCACGGTAATGAAATCGACATTAGAGTAGAGTGGAATGGCAATTATTTGTTTAAGCTGTGCCCAATATTACTACCATATTTAAAACATTGTTATTGAACAACAATTATAATTAGCGACGGCTCGGCGGCTATCATTTCATTGGAATAGCTAGTAACGTGTAAATGGTTAAAGTGTGCGGATTTTGGCGATTTTTTCAGCTCTAGTTAAGAATATTTGTTCATTTACGCCATTTTGCTGCACATTCAGTACTTTTGACATGCTTTTGCGATAAACCATATAGAATTTCACAATAATTTGTACGCTTTGGTACCTTGGGCTAGTAACAGCAACGTAGGAGCTTGCAGTCGTATTTATAAGTCAAATTGGAATTCAGTATTGCAAGAGTTTGCTGACGGTGAAGCAAACCAATTGATTCAAACGGTCATGCATTCGAAATTTTGAAGACCGATGGAAGTACGCTAGCAACTTATGACGTTTTGTCTGATAAAATGCTGCAGGGAACAATAAATTCAATATTTTAAGGAAGAAAATATAAAATGGAAATCCTCGATGTGAAAAAGTTTCCGCGCTTAAGCTGCCTTCAAACGTTCTAGCCTGTACCGAAACGCAATAAATGGAGGTAACTAGCATCCACAGTTGCCTTGCGCACAAGAACCATCGATTCTCAAGATCAACAATTTTAGTAAATACGTGGCAATAAGCATTTATAAATTCTTTCTTTGAGGCTTTTATATTTTGATTTGCCTATGTGCATGAATCCACATCTAAATTTTCTTATATAGACATATTTACTGATAAAGTGGCATGAGTTTAAAATAGTCGGTTTAATGGTAAACAAACTTTTCGTTATAATGGCTACACATTGGAAAATAGTCGCCCTTTTTTTCACAGCTAACCTGTTAATTTTCATGTTCTTACTGTATGATGCTCTGCGACCAATATGTGTAAAGTTATAATAAAGCAAGTGAAGATTTAATCACAATATGAGGATCACGTGCTTGGCCAACTCCGCGGATTTGTTTTATTTTTTTGGGTGAAGGGTATGAATAAGAAGTTATAGTTTGTGCTCCCATCAGTGCAAGTATAATTTCATTTCAGCTGTCATTTACAGCTGTTTTCTGCTCTCACTAATGGCGTTACCGCTGGTTCGTTTAGACATTTTATCTTGATAGCGCAGTTTACTTATATAGTCATATTCCTTTTCGGATGTTGCTTGAACTCGTTACATCACCAGAGAAATGTACTATCCTCTGACAAGTGCCGACGTTTCCCCCCTCGTCTTACTAATTTTTCAAAGAACTCGTGGTGTTCGGCTTAAAACAGCTACTGCTGACACATTGAAGAGCAACTTAAACGACTATTTTATTTTGACGAATGGGCTTTAATTTAACCTTATTAACGTTACAATGTCCTTAATGCATTCGACAAGGGGGCTTCTCGTAAGGAATTCAGAATGATTGCCCCAGAATGTTTAAGCGATCATCAGGCATACATTTCACAATGACGCTGCTACTCATGATGGAAAAATATTAAGCTCAACATTAATAAAAAGATGCGAATTTAATATCATGGATTGCTCCTTGGACTTGTATTCTTAATCATTATTAGTCGTTCGTGAAACTTCTGTGATTATTAGGACATTCAAGTGAATTAGCTACTGCTCAACTGCTACCTTCGTTCATTGAAGGCAACTGACATAAGACACTGCGTCGCAGGCTTGTTTTCATTCACTGAGAAGTTCAGCGGTTTTCTGATAAGCAGTTTTACTCTTCATGTGTCCATTAGTCTGTTCTGATTCAGCTTTGTCTTCTTATCCAAGGGCTTTGGGTAAAACGGGAATTTTTTGAAGGATCCGAATCAGAGCCTCTACCCACCACCTGTTTGCATATAATCAAATCAGACATCGATTATTTTGTTCACAAATCGATATTCCTACCAAGAATAAGAATAAACACGGTTACATTTGAAGGTTGCATGGCTCGAAACATCTGAAGTGGACGGATACAATGAAAACGATTATTAACTCTAAGGATGTTATAGGACTAGCTTGTCATACCTTGAAAACAAAGAAACGGAAGCTGAGGAGAAAAGCAGCCGCAGATGGTAAAGTAGAGGGACAGGCAGAAGTTCAAGAAGCGTTAGAGGAAGAATTGGAAAAGGTAGTAGAAAGAAAGGAGGAAGATGAGCCACTGGTCTAAGGTGACCAGAAGTGGCAACACTAGCTTTATCATAAGTATGTTTACTACCACTGTTATCTTTATAAAAAGCACTGAAAAACTGGGTTAAAACACGATGTTCACGATTAAGGGGTGTATATTTGGAAATCCGCAAAACGTTCTTTTGACAATTCTTCATGAAAAATGGCCTTTGGCCTGACCACGGACATCATAGCTTGAATATAAGAATGATCTGGCTTCGTCGCGCCTAAGAATTCAAGCTGTTGAACTGGTCTCTTTGGGCAGCAGACTGAAGCCGTTGGTAGGTCTTTAGGAACTGACTGCGGCCCTAAGCGAATGACGGGTTATGAAAATGAATGAATGAATAGTAAGGTATCTAAGAGAACTTCCAACGGATCTAATATAATCCATAGGAAATAATTCATGCTTGCTTTTAGCAGATGAACCTCGTAAATCGTGCCCTTTGAGTCCTTAGGTGATGGTAGACACCGAGACTTAAAAGATTTAATTCAACGTCAGACCGGTTCGAAAGAAGTTTTTGGAGGTCCGTGTAATAGGAAGAAGAAAAGAAGTATTTGTACATCCATTTTTCTGAAGGTTTGAATAAACAGGAGAGTTACACAGGGGGTCGACATGGTTAGAGCGATATAAAATGTTAAAAAATAGATGGATTTATGGTTATGTTCAGGAAGTGAAAGTTATTTCCTTCTTTGCTTCGTTCCTTCCATAATTACTTATTGATTTATTTGCTTAGGATCTTACATATTTCCTTACTGACTTATTTACTTAGATACATACGTGTTTAATTTATTTAATTACTTTTATGACATATACCAACCCCATAAGATGAAGAATTACTCAGTGTTACCTTGTCTTATTAACCGAGAATGATCGATCAGTTTAGTTATGGTATTTTGTTATTTCAGTATTACATTTTCACTCTTTACACCTTTCGAAGCTGCTGAGATCACTGTTCGTGTGGTAGGGTTCTTTGCACGTGATGTTCAAAAGGTGACGTGAAGATGCATTTGCGGTATCACTTTTTTAGCTTAACTGTTCATTTGTTGCTACTATATTTTAAATGCTTCAGTTCCAGACCCTGTTTAAAATTGGTGCAAATCTTGAATACAAGCAGCTGTGTTCACTCGCCTGTTGCTTTTTGTGAAGCACATCGCCAAATTGCTGCTCCTTGCTGCTCTACGCCCACTTGTTCCATGAAACTTCCGCTGTTAACAAACGATGTAAAGGACCCCAGGTTCAAGTCTTTCGAAGACGGTTTCAGTTTCAAGAAGGCTTTTCTAAGAATTTTTCCAGCGGCTGTACTCTTCGCTTCTTCTGTGGTGCTTTTAAAATCTTGGTACCTGGTTTGTATTTTAAATAGAGATTGAAAATTATGATTAACCCTCACAGATATTGATGTGTTTGGCCTTACAGTATTTTATGATAATTTGCGGCAAACTTAGACTTCGGGAATCATTTAGCCGAACTTTCCTTTTTGCTTCTACCAAATGGTAGTATGTTATAAATAAATTTTGCTCAAACACAAGGAATAATGAGTTAAATTTTTCGATATCTACGAATAAAATAGAATACCTCAGACTTTAAGTTTGTAGCTATTTCGAGAACTTAGTAGTTGCTTCGATTACAAGTACATATAAAGCTCTTTGTGCACCCACAACGCATGTAACAGCAAGCGCAGTGCGACAACTTAATGTAAACCAGTTGAGTAATGCTTGCTTATAAATACATCAGCCTCATCATCGTCAGTATTTTTCGATTCATCGCTGTATGACTTCCTCTCTAAGTATTTTCCTTAAACTTCAGTTTTCTGCGATCCTGATACATTTCGATCAAGCGAATTTGTTCAGCTCTTCTTGCCATTGATCTGCAAAACTTTCCACGATTCGTCTGCTCTCTCTTGAAACCAGTCTTATATATCAGTGTGGCTTAACCTTAGTCGGTTGCAAGCACGTTACATTATATAAGCACGTTTATGTAATGTATTAAATTCATCCCATTCTTTCTCTACTTCTGCATTTCGTTTTCGGGGTTGCATGAGTTTCACTTTGAGGTTATTTTTTCTAATGGTTCCGTTCTTCCGTTAATCAGAGACTGGATTTCTAGACATTATCATGCCACATGCTCATTGAATTCTTCGCTCCTCGTCGAATTCTGTCTTTAACTTGTTTAACACTTGCCTTTGCGATGAAGGTTCACTTAAATTTCTCTAAAACAGTTTTCGTGTAATATGTTCTCTAATTATTCGTTAATGTACATAATTCACTTGTTTTTATTGCTCTCTTACGTTAATGTCATTAGGCTGTTTCGTCACCTTCCAAACAGGGCCGTTTGTTATACTGAAGAAAGTTCAAAACAG